CCCAGGTCTTGTAGTGCTCAAGATGCCCCGCATGGGAGAATGTGGATCCTGGATGCCCGTTTTCCAATACGGAGTAACTACTCCGTACTCCGTATCCGATCTTTTGAGATTGTCGAGGGGTACTGTAGTCCAACTTGATGCTCAACACCCTAAACTCTGCCTTACGTCACTGGAACCACAGCCCCGGTCTTGGATCGTTGCTGGCACGGAGGCTATGCTAGCGTCAACAACCAAAGGCTCTGCCAAACCACACCCGTTTCTTGTCCAGTGCTCAAAGCATAGCATTTCTTCACTTTCCCAATTAACATTCAACGACAGCGATACAGCAGTTCCCGAGACCACGGCGCTCGCATCAGAGGAACTAACGAGGAGGGCCGTTGAAAACCCAACCAATCTCTTCTTGTGAAGACAACAAACGTAGCCAAAGCCCTGGGTCGGCAGAGCCTTTACTCTCTAGGCTAGCATGCCATCAAATTCAGTGCCATGTTGAGAAATAAGGTCTTCACGGCGCTCCAGAAGACTTATGACGACAGCTATCTGAGTTGCTCGACAGCTGTCTACTATGAGAGCCAGGTGCGTCATCCGAGTTTCCCATTTTTGCGCGTCCGTCACAAACGTCAGCCCGGGTCCGCATTCAATCAGCTAACAAAGAACTTTTCACCAGGGTGACGAGCTAGAAGCAATGCGCCATTGGAGGCATGCACTCGAGCAAATTTACGAACACCGAGCTACCAAGTCCGTTCCAGGCTACGGGCCTCAAACGGATACTGAAAAGGCATTAGTGGAAGCATTAAATCAGTTGGAGCTGCAATGCAAAGAAAGGATTGATCTCCTAGAAGCTCTACGTGTTTCTCGTCAAGAAGGCTCGCCTCTGCCACCAGCGACTGGTACTTCCAAGGCCTCGACACCGTATGAAGACAGAAATATGAACCGTCCAAAAGGCTCCATTGGACAAGGCACCATTCCTGCCGTAACATACTCGGAACTCTCTCGACCCACACTTCCTAGCCGACCGGCCTTACCTCCTCGAACATCGTCGGAACAAGCGACTACTTCAATGTCAAACGGAGGCAACCAGAATGTGGAAGCAAATTTCCGTCTTGGCACAAATTCAAGGTCATCGTCACCAAATCTTCCCGGTAGGACGGATAAAACATTACGTTCCAGTAGCCCAGAAAAACATACTATGAGAACAACCCTCCGTTCCGGTAGAACGAATGACAAACCCAGCAAACCGATTCGGCGTTCGCCAAAGCCCGCGGCAGAGGGACCAAGTAAAGCAGCAACATTGGCATGGAGTGCTCTCGGATCGCGAGAACGACCGTATAAAATACCCGCTTCTGATAGCAGTTCATCGACCCCTCATTTAACTGCTCGGGCCGCTTCAGATCAGACAAAGCCTGTACCATCACCTTTGCAATGGGACAGTCACTCCAGACGACTGGTAACACAGCGGGATACAGAAACTTGCCTCAACGGATTGCAATCCATTGGTGCATCTAGACATTCCGGAGAGTATCCGCGGTCCAAGTCCTCCTTGCTATCCGTTTCCGCCGCCTCCAGCGCTCTGAACGCATCGTCATGCCAAGAGACACATTTTTCAGATCCAACATTGAACAAATCAGAACGTATTTCGCCCGCACGTGCGGCTGCAACTATCGGTCAATCCGCAAGAATCTCGAGGGGCGAGCAGGCTACCAACCCATCTTCCGTTGATGACCCAGAAGAGACCGCAGAGAAAAGGAACTTCTCCGACAGTGCAATACGACGCAAAGAAGTGGTCAAGAGAAAGGTTCAGCCGTCTTACCCAACGTCCAAAAACAGGGTCCCAAGTCATGGGAACATATCTCGTCAAGATAAACAACAAGTAAAGGACCGCGGCTCAAGCGATTCCGATAGCCCTACAGCCGATTCGCTCTCCAAGCCTAGACAGACCAAGCGAAAAGACCCCCTGGTAGTTCATAATGCACAGTCACAATCATTTGAGGATTTAGATTCGGACGATGACTCCACAGCGAAGGCCTGGGGAAAGAGGAAGGCCGCCATTCTTAAGCATCTGCCATCTGGTATTGATGAAGGAGCGGCGAAGCAAATTCTTAACGATATTGTCGTGCAAGGAGACGAGGTACATTGGGGAGATATTGCTGGGCTAGAAATTGCTAAGAATGCTCTTAGAGAAACAGTTGTCTATCCCTTCCTTCGACCAGATTTGTTTATGGGACTGCGCGAGCCGGCCAGGGGTATGCTTTTATTTGGACCTCCGGGGACGGGAAAGACTATGCTGGCACGAGCCGTGGCCACCGAGTCGAAATCCACATTTTTTTCTATTTCGGCCAGCAGCTTGACGAGCAAATACCTTGGAGAATCAGAGAAGCTAGTCCGTGCTCTGTTTGGCCTTGCAAGAGCTCTAGCTCCCAGCATTATATTTGTCGACGAGATCGATTCTCTTCTATCGCAAAGATCTGGGTCAGGAGAACATGAGGCTACAAGGCGGATCAAAACAGAGTTTCTGATACAATGGAGTGATTTGCAACGCGCAGCTGCTGGAAGAGAAGCTACAGAAAAAGATAAAGAGCGAGGAGATGCAAACAGAGTTCTTGTTCTTGCCGCAACTAACCTTCCTTGGGCGATTGACGAAGCAGCCAGGCGTAGATTCGTTCGACGACAGTACATTCCACTGCCAGAGCCACGGACCAGAGAAACGCAACTACGAACGCTGCTAGGACAACAAAAGCACGGCCTTTCTGAATCAGATATAGAGACACTTGTTAGGCTGACGGACGGTAAGTTGGGTGCAAAAATACTTCCACTGTTACTCAAATTCCGCGTTCTCTTTCTGAAAGGTGGTTAACCAAGACACGAGCTCATACATCTTATTGACTTATCATTTCAGGATTTTCGGGCTCAGATATTACTGCTTTAGCAAAGGATGCCGCAATGGGGCCACTTCGGTCACTTGGTGAAGCATTACTTCACATGACTATGGATGACATTCGACCTATTCTACTAGTAGACTTTGAAGCAAGTCTAAGCACAATACGACCCAGCGTGAGCAAGGCTGGGCTGAAGGAGTATGAAGATTGGGCTAAGGAATTCGGAGAAAGGGGAGGCTAGACAAGGATCCTCAAAACTTCGAGAATGTGCATGACAAGCTGAATTTTGTATAGTCACTAACTCGAGCCAGCCACATACTTCACTATCATTTCAAATGCAATGCGCAGGCTGATTGTGATCAGGAGACAAAAGCTTCAAAGGTTCAATTCGCGGCATAAAGTACAAGTATTATATCTTACAACGTCGTATAGATTGGTTCCAGTCGTATTACTATTCCATCCGCTTTGTCAGCCCAGCTCACAAATACAGTGCTTTTTGCTTGCGTATCAATCACTCATAATGCGTTGAACACCTGCCTCAGACCAAAGCCAATAATTTCGCCTTTCTTCTCGTAAGCTCCACGGTAACGGAGTCTTGTCTTAGTATAGTGCATTGCATATATATATGATGCAAACGATGCTAGAGCCACGTCGATAATGCTCCATTCCCAAGTGCCCTCACGCATGACCTCACACTCTAACTGTTTGTCCTCGACAGCCTCCGTTCGGCTTTCGCTGCCTTTTTTGTCTCCCGGTCCTCTATTCGTTCTTCTAGCGTTGGAACAGGCGGTCGCTCGTTGATAGGAGCACCAAAAGGGGCAATGATATGTTTCACAACGTGTCGTTTATGCCGTGAAGTCGGCCAGCCAGGCACAATCGACACAACATCCCCTGTTCGCAGTGACGAGTTGGGATCGTGTACAAGATAATGTTTCGGATCAGGGAACCACTGAAGCAACCGCCAGTTAGCCCAATATTGGAGGATGCTATGGACAACAGTGTAGCTTCTCCAAGCTAAAACCCACCATAGGCAACAAGATTAAGACTTACTTTGTTCACGACTTTGTTCCACTTTTGGCCGCCTACTCGGACTTTGACAGTCTTTTGCATTAAGCCGGCAGATACTACTACACCATGAAGTTCGTGGGCCACACGGCGTGCAGCTTTCGCGACTTGAGAAGACATCCTAGCATACGGCGACAAGTATCACCCTCATGAAGTAAAGTTCTTGTCGTGTTCGACTATGCAACCTACTTCCGGACTTCCAATATGGCCGCCGCAATGAAGTGAGGTAATACGGATCTTTGAGGTCTGCAGTATTCGAGTACAGAGGTAAATTCAGTGGGTCAAGTGATAAACATGTAAAGTAGGAGACCTGTAAAATGTTAGCAAGGGACTTTTTTGCCGCATCCCTGAACTATGATTTGGGTCACCGCTTGCCAAATACACTTGCTTACTCGGCGTTATTACGTAATTCCAGGCCAGACTTGGTAGTTTCGGAAGCGGGGGTTGCTTAACGTCTGCTTGACTTACTTAGGTAAGTGCCTACGAGGTATGTACCTGTGCAGTGGGGCAAATTGACGACAAAAGATTCTCGTGGAAACCCGCCATCTTTTATCTTCCACAGCACACGCCCAGGAGCTGAAAGGACCCGTGAGCAGGGCCTCTTTTCTACGCAACGTGGTCAATTACATGGTACTGCATAGCTGAATTAGCTAGCTGTGAATCTATCTCACCGCTTCTCACCTCGCCAGGGTCACCACTAAACATCATGTCATCACCGGATCGCCGCACTGGGGTGAAACGACCTAGTAAGAAAGGCCCTACAATGGCTTTTACCTAAGCCTCCATCCCCCTGTATACATCCTCACCGGGCAGAAGACTAACCTTACCCTGTGTTCTCACGAAGCAGGGACACAATCGTTACCTCCCCCGGCATTGCCTCAGTTGGTCGCGGAGCAACACACTGCCATACCACCAACGGATAAGGACTCTCAGCGACTGATAGTTGTGCTATCAAATGCAAGTCTCGAAACATATAAAGCATCTCATGGCGGTAGTAGCAGAACCGGCGTTCATCGTGAGGACAAATATTCATTGCTCAATAGCGACGAGCATATAGGCGTCATGCGGAAGATGAATCGTGATATCAGCGATGCTCGTCCGGACATCACACATCAGGTCACATCCCTCCTCTGTTGGGTGAATTTTTTACTCGACTGTGCTGACTTTTACTTGCAGTGCCTGTTGACTTTGCTAGATTCGCCCATCAACAAGGCCGGTAAATTGCAGATTTACATTCACACAGCAAAGGGAGTGTTGATCGAAGTGTCTCCTTCTGTGCGAATCCCCAGAACATTCAAGCGATTTGCTGGCCTCATGGTTCAGCTACTTCACCGTTTGTCGATCCGATCCACCAACTCGAATGAAAAGTTGCTTCGAGTGATTCAGAACCCAATCACTGACCACCTCCCCCCGAATTGCCGCAAAGTGACGCTCAGCTTTGATGCTCCGCTGGTTCGCGTCCGTGAGTATATGGAAACAATCGGATCGAAGGAGAGTATTTGTGTATTTGTCGGGGCCATGGCAAAAGGCTCGGACACATTTGCAGACTCGATTGTGGACGAGAAGATATCTATCAGCAACTATTCACTATCAGCCAGCGTGGCGTGCAGCAAATTCTGCCATGCAGCGGAGGATGTATGGGACGTTCTTTGAGCTTGCCAATTTTCTGCAAAAATAAAGAACAGGACTTGGCATATGTGAAATTGTACGGTACGGCCAAGGCGACAGCCTGTATGGTCATCCTGCAGTGATACAACATCACCGCACGGTGTGACACGTCTGGCAGACACTTGGTTCGCCTGGGCTTGGCGCCGTCTCTTGTTTCTACAACCAAAACACGGATGCGTTCAGGGGACAGGTCCAAGGCTCTTTCAACGTCTTGAAGGAGCAATTTCCCGCTGCCGTTGCTCAGTTGGTTCTTATGGTGACATATTCTACCAACGGATCAGTATCAAGCGAATCCTGCTCGATGGCGCTTGTTCGAGGTCGTCATGATAGAGGGTTTGTCCACGTTGTCGAGCAACCATAATATCCGCCGGGCCAGGACAGTCCTTCCACCAACAGGGATTGCGGTAATTGACTTCGGGGCTTAGGACTTAAGTATCGTCAATCCGGCTGTGCGGATTTTTGTTTGAAGCATTCTTCCTACATCGTAAGTCATTATTCTAGGATATACAATCGAAATATGTTGTTATTTGAAGGCGCTTTATCGACCGCATACACACCATCATAAAGCCATTGACAAGTATGTGCGTAAATACGTTTAATCCTGATTTATGAGCCAGACAAGTATTGGTCCATATGTGCCGCAGGACAATACAACTGCAGTTCCCAGCCAAAAACAAAAATGAAAGCGAAGCCATGCAGAAACAACCCATGCTTCAGACCGCCTTTTCCGTCAACCAATACCATTACAACAGTCGCAACGGCTTTTGAGTGCCCTGCATTGGACCCAGAGCCAGCACACAACAAGGAGTTGATAAACGGTCACGATGGTCCCATGCCTGTGTGAGCGAAGCCTATGGGCTCCAATGGCTGTGTGGGTGTCACCATGTAACACGACTTATCACAACAGTTGTTGTGCTGCAAGTGGTCAATCAGCGTTTCATGGTTGCCACTTCGCTACATACGGTCGGCAACTGTTAGGCCGCGATACATTAGGTACATGCAGGTATGACAGGGAAGTCATATTGCACAGGCTGGCCAAGATACGGAGTGCCTGCCTGGATAATGCAGACATCTTGAATGTGCTAATTATTGTATGCCTAATCGTAGGTAGCTCTCAGGCATGAGTCTCAGTACTCGAGCCGTCGAATCCAGCCAATCCTACCTGCAGCACCTGCAGTGCAACTAGTATGCGATGACAGTTTTCAAGTGGAGCGGCCCGTACTCCCGTTTCCTCCTTCCCTTTTTAAGGGCCCTCTTTGCTTTCTCTTTCCAAGCTCCGTGATACATAAGACTGCGTGGTGAGCCTCAAAGGTTATTGAGTATGGTGTTACCTGTTGTCGAAGTCTCCCACCTCCCGTCATCTTCATCGTACTTTGCAGCAATCCTCCAACCCCTTGGACTCGTGTATATCAGTTCTGACGATATATCACACCCAGCTCCCCTGTCAGTGGTGTTTGGTACACCGACACGCCCGGTTCTTGAAATCAGGCAAGTCTTGTCACCCGACGACGTACACCGACCAGTCCATCTTGTATTTACAGCGCCAACAAGATCTGCTGTAGCCAACTTCTATCAACGTGGTATCCAAGCGAACCCGTCACAGACACTCCTGCTACAAGGATCGACTGATCGTGATACCCTGCCCAATACTGGCTGCATGAGAGCAACTGTCATTGACATGGACGGCAACAGGATAGAAGCTGTGTATCTTGGTCAACAGTCCTTGGATGACACAGCGAAGCAGAGCACCCGTAATGGTGGGCAAACTTGGACAGGCTTGATCGACCGTGGTTTAAAGTACGGTCAAGGTGCCTCTACACCCGTGGTGAGCGCTCGGGTCTTTTCCCAGCGTGAACCATGTGGGCAACAGTCGAGTGAATCATCACATCGGACAACTGAAGAGTTCTCACGAACTTTCTCGGAAAAGGATTCACTCAACTCGAAATCTTTGCAGTCCACGAATACACAAGCTGGGGAGTCACAAGGAGTATCAGGCACAATCAACACATCTACTGTTGTTGGTACACTTCTGGGTTTAGCTGCTGGCGCTATCCTCACTTACGGAATAGTTTCCAGCGACAAGCACGAAGCTACACATAATCATGCCGACAGATCACCGGCCTCGTCACAAAAGGTCAAATCAGGTCCAAGGTTTCCTGGAGCGGGAAATCATGGAGATGGAAGGCCTGGTTTCTCGAGTAGAGATATGCCAGTGAAGGCAACTGCCTTCCAATATGACCTCCCGCACCGAAGTCCATGGAGTCGGCAATTGGGGGGATATGAGGCTCGGGTCACGCGGAGGCCTCCGCCGGTTCAATCGTCGGATGCAGGTGTAGGCCAGGTCAGGCCGCAAGCCTTGCGCGGCATCAGAAGCATTAATCTCCCTACGGCGCCTGGGGAGAGAGGAGTTGAACGTCGACAAGTTGTAGCAGATACCAACTGGAATGGAGGAGACCTGAATGATGTTTGGGTTGGTGATGCTACACCGCCGCCGATTGTTGACTGTGGTTCAACCCGTCTTTCCTCGGCCAAGCGTAATACAGGTTCTCTGGTGGTGCCATCGGTCGCATCGCGACCGTTATCGCAAATGCCACGGCAAGTCATCCCATCACGAGCCCCAACAGCAGCATTCGATCCTGAGCGAGAAACCTTTGTGTCCGCTAGGTCTCGCGTGTCTTCTTCGCCCGTCGACCAGACGCCATGGCATATGAACTCCGTACCGGCGACAGTCGAGCACTTTAGCCGTGCCCAATGGATGCCCCCGTCTATGAGTCATGTCTCCGCCAGCCGTATCCCCCTACCAGAGACTATCGTGAACAGTGGTGTTTCTGCGAGGGAAGTTCCCTTGCCTGCCAGCGGTGTGGGGAGCAGCTGTGCTGACTGGGGGAACGATAACGATAGCATAGCACCCAGCGATAGCATCAGTTGCGTGGGAACGGGGAGGAGACGCGGTGTTTAAAAGCATGGGGTTGGTGCTAGTTCTTTTTCTGAGCTGGAATTGCAGAATGACATTTTCTCTCTCTCATTGTCCTTTGCCACCACTGTAATATAGGCCACAGCTCGAGTGCGAAGAACAGAGCACACCACTGTACTAGCTGGCTCACTGTTTAGTGTTAACTGTTCAGGGGATGAAGACGCCGATGCTGCCTAGAGCCGCGACCCTGCTTAAAGTCATTGGATCTGGTAGTACTAGTATAGTAGTATTCACGTACCTAAGTTTGTACGGAGTACATAGTACTAGCTGCACAGTTAGCAGGTTTGCGGAGGTCCGATGGTCGGCCCCCCCGCCAGGGTCGCCCCACCAATAGTAAATACTAGACGAATTCAACTTCGATCAGAGGCAACTCTGACCCAAATGCTAATTTCGGTCAAAACATAACTAAGGCGGCAGTTTATCCCAGGACATGACCAACGCACAGCCGCATACATATTACCGGTAAAACACGCATAGCTGCGAGGATATCCCCAGCCCTCTACAGCCATCATGTCACCGCTTGCCCTGGGCGAATCCATTCCCCAGGACACAGCTCATGTGAGTTCTGCCCATAGAGAGCCCGAAACATTACAGAAAAGACTGACGCATAGCGCATAGGCTGTCAGCGTGTCACTGCCCACGTGGAAATCCAATATTGGTTACGAAGAAGGCGAAAAGTGGGTTGTCGAGAAGATGGCGACTGGCTATCCCAGGTACAAGCTATATTGACTCTCCCGCATGGCTCAACTGTTACTAACAACGCAATGGCACAAGGTTCTTCATCCATAAAAGTATTCAGGCATTTGCCTCAGATATTGTATCAGACTATGGCTTAAGTGACCAGCAGGCAATGCTGTTTCCGACTCCAGCAGCCGCACAACGCTGCATTAACTTTGTCACCAACGCAGAGCCCAGCTATCTACAGAAAATCAATCTTGTCGAGCTGGCTCTGGATATGTCCAAAACTCTATCACCGTTGCTGAAGAAGCTTGCTCCAACAGTATCTGCTATCCTGTTGCCCAAGGCAGCTTTTCCCATAGCAAAACAGTATTGGCAACACACAGGAGATGGTGTTTCAAGCCGCCGCGCCGAGTTTTGTCACAGCTTGCTGAGAGATGGTCTGCTTATTCCAACCAACTCAACTCAAATATCAAGCGAAGCATCACCATGGGCGATCCGAGGACCCAAAAGATACCAACGAGCAGGGAATAATGGTAATTCAAAGGATATGGGAAGCTACAACTACGAGGAGTCTTTGGAAAGCTCTCGTTTCCTGGAAGAAAGATTTGGGAGGAACTTAGACCTTGCATTTGTGGAACGTGCTAAATCTGCTATCCGAAGACGAATTGCCGGGTGTCTAGTACAAGACATGGATTCCTTACCTGTCATGGCTTCGAATTCACGGGGTTTGCAGAATTTACACGAGGACGATGTGTATCTATTTCCAGCGGGAATGAATGCCATCTACAATGCTCACCGGGCTCTTCTCTATGCCAGGGGTCAAATGAAAAGCGTCAACTTTGGATTTCCCTACGTTGACACGCTGAAAATTTTGCAGAAGTTTGGTCCGGGGTGTGAGTTCTTCGGCCATGCCTCATCTGCCGACCTGGACAAATTTGAGGAGCTCCTGAGAACTGGTCATCGTTTCCTGGCGCTATTTTGCGAATTTCCAGGAAATCCTCTCTTGATATGTCCAGATCTACAACGGATTCGTCGCCTAGCAGATGAGTTCGATTTTGCAATCGTTGTAGATGAAACCATTGGGACTTTCGCCAACATCAACGTTCTGCCAGCTGCCGACATTGTCGTAAGCAGCCTGACGAAGATATTCTCCGGCGATTCTAACGTGATGGGAGGGAGTGCCATATTGAACCCTAACAGTCGGTTCTACGGGCAAATTAAAAAGGCTATGAACTACATATACGAAGACACATATTGGCCAGAGGATGCAATTTTCATGGAGAGGAACAGTCGAGATTTTTTCAACAGAGTGGACCGTATAAACACAAATGCGGAAGCTATTTGTGCTACTCTGCAACAACATGCAAGCGTCAAGGACATTTTCTACCCCAAGTGCAACCCGTCTAGGCATTACTACGACGAGTACAGGCTGCCAAACAGAGGATACGGAGGCCTACTGTCCATTGTCTTCCATTCTAGGCAACATGCAGAGGCCTTCTATGACTCCGTGGAAATTGCCAAGGGGCCTAGCCTTGGAACTAATTTTACGCTGGGTAGCCCGTACGTACTACTTGCACACTATCAAGAGCTGTCCTGGGCTGCGCAGTTTGGGGTTGCAGAGGATTTGGTTCGTATCAGTGTAGGGCTAGAAGACACTGAAATGCTTCAAAATATTTTCAACAGAGCATTGAATGCGACGGAAACAATGCCGAAGACGGACTCAGATTTCGACGCTTAGTCATACCATGAATTTCTTCCATCATCCAAATAACAAGTCAAATCTGGCAGATCAGATTTATTTTTTTTTTCATACGGATTAATTTGAGAAAAGATAGGCCCGGGGAGTATGATAAGTCTTGTCTTCATCAACCAGCTATATTCACTACTCAATCAGGTATGGAAGTTGTTTATGCGAAGTAGCGCCCTGGAAATGATACCGTCAGTAGAAGAGGATTGAACTGCAGCTTCAACAGTGAACATACGAACAGACAACATCTGATGAGGGGATATCTTGCAACGGGAGTGGATCAATCCTAGACCTTGTTGTCGCATGATTCAATAGTGATTACAGGCATACATTAAGTATTAGGTCCTTATGACAACGCCATGCTATTATTTTAGCTACAAGACCACACAGTCATGATGTGTGTAGCCAGGTCCGTAATCCTCAATGCCTCGCTCTATCTCATTCGCTCGTTGTTTCTCCTTCACTTCTTTTGCGAAGTATTGTTTCATGTACTTTTCCAGCACACGGTCAAGATTGTCTGGTGATACAATGGAATTAGAAAATGTCTGCTGAAAAACACAACTTGGAGCAGTCTTACCTGCAGACGCGTTCATGACGACATCTGCTCGACACAACGGACAATGTCTCTCGTTTCTCCGCTGAATCTTAACCACGCATCTTATACAAAATACGTGCCCACAGTCGAGTCGCACTGGACGATATGCTACAGAGAAGCACACTGGACACAGGTAGTCATTTAATTGAGGCACAACCGTGACCAACTGCTGTGACATCTGAGCGCAAATGTCTTTAGCCATATCTCTCGATAGAAAGCTCTCAGATTGTATGGCGGATCGAAATGTCTGGGACACGCCGAGTGATGTTCTTTTGTCAAATTCTACTGGGATCTTAGCAACCCTGCCTGTGTGCGTTGCATAAGTACTTGTACCGAGGCACTCACTCTTCAGGATTTTGACTATGGCGAGTTTGTTCAGTTCCTGGAACTGAAGGTTCTTCAACAAGCTTAAGTTGAGATTAACGAACCTTGAAAAGGCCATCCGGCTCTCCCGGAGCTTGAAGTCCCTGGCAAGATGGCCCTTTTCAACCTCGGCTTGGAACCACTGCAACTGCTTCAGAGCCATTTGACTTGACCGTGTGCCATGATCTCTTTCATGAGTACTAAAAAACACTTCGGCATCCAGGTATAGCTCGAATATGCGACGCCAACGAGCAAGGTCACTTTTGGAGAACCGACTGGTTCGGCAAACAAATGAGACTTCCTTGCCTAGTTCCACCACCTCTGCAGTCATTTTCCCCTCCTCCTCTGTTTGAAGAGCATCCAAGTTATTCACGTCACTTTGAAGCATGTCGAAAAACTCGGCATCAAAGACCAGGGGCACCTCAACCGTCTCATACATATTATGGTCGTTTCCGTCAGCCTGGCGATCAGCATCGTGGCCAGAGGCTACTACGGGGCTGGTTTCTGTAGATTGCGTATCTGCATGCGTGCCTGCTAGGCCCATAGGATCAGAGCGTATTTCCGCAGCAACTCGCTCAAAGAAGCCCCGCGACGTGGGTGTCAGGGACGCATCTACGGCGACACCATCCTGCAAGTGGACGTAGACGGTAAGTTTTGGTTGAACGAAATTGGAGTTGGTCGCAGCTGGACGTGGTGACTCAGTTAGCAGGTTTGATCAAAGAACAATGTCTTCCAAAGCGAGTCGCCTTGTACCTTGACTGTGATGGATTACTTTTTAAATGGTATTGTAGTGCGACAGGAGATGTTGTGGTAGGGTCGAGTAATGCACGGAGGGTCTCGGGATCGAGGCCCAGGTCGCGTAGTTCTCGCTGCACTTTCTTGAGACATTTCTTCAGCTGACCATAAGGTATAGCTCTGGTAACCCAATGAGGGGGGAAATCTACAGCATGAGATGCAGCCGTCAGTGTAACCGTGTTGCGGCAGCTGAAAACAAGATGATAGCTTGGACTCCATCAACTGTACTCTATATGGCTAGAAGAACAGGTAGAAGAGGATTCGGAGCTCGGGAGGGGAGCCTTGACGCACCTTGGTTAGCCAGAGTTTCTTTAAAGTCACGAGCGAACTTCATTTTGACGTGTCCTCATTGCGGACTGGCACAGAGTAATCGGCCGTACCAGAGAGACTGGCGTCAGCATCACCAACTTCAGATTGTGAGTGGGGTTTGTGTGGGAGAAGCAGTTGTATGTTAGGTACTCCGTACCTAGGTATGTTCAGTGCTCAAAGTACATACTGACCATCTGGTGGCGTCAGCGAACATTGAAGGTTTTTCGCCTGAAGAAGTCAACTGATCCTCCGGTGCCACATCCTGTTTGGTTAATGTCACCAGCGCCTGGTGCCACCCACCTAGCACCCTCTCTTTAGCTGCCCAATCGCTCGTGGAGACTCGCTTACCTAAGTAAGTAAGAAAATTGTATGGCAGAAGAGGCCCCACGAGCCATTGGGCAGCAAAGAGCTATCATAGTACTTCAGTGCCCAGGCACGAGGACATTTGAAAGCAGATAACACCGAACTCCTCCACTAGCTACCTAGGTACTTACCTAAGTAGGTACTTACTCAAGTAAGTCCATATGTAACTTCTCCCTATATGTCAATACATAAGTACTTAGATGATTTGGTTGCCTACTAGGTCTAAGTACTTAGAGGCAGACAAGGAGTGTTCGGTGTCTCTGCTAGCTACTAGGTACCTAGTATCATCTGAGTGATCACTCGCTTGCCTACAATGATTCTGAACCGACACTTACGGGACCGTCTACGGATATTGGGATATCGTGCACTGGCTCATAATATAATCAATAAACTACTAAGTTGCAGGAAACCGACAGCCACAGCCCAATATTTGGTAGCGAAGCTAAAGTTGAGCTACGAAGCTCCACTTCGCCCCGGCCCACCGGCCACCATTGCTCAGTGCTCAGTGCGGTCTTCTGTATCATAATTACTCACCCAGATGCTATTTGTGCCCTTGATTACGGCGCACGAACTCGATATCATTGTGCAGCGACGTATCTACCACAGAAGACAAGCAAAAGCTAACTCACTGTCTTCACCTACATACCCGTCTTCATTGCTGCATTGCTGATCGCATTCAAATTATCCATACAATATATATAAGAGTTCAGATCATCGGACCTATATCCATTGAGTATAAAACTCGCACCAGCTCTCTCGCACGCTTGGACTGCCAAAAGCAGGAGGGCCACCAACGTAAAGCAGGATCTAGCCCAGGCTTGGCTGTGATAGCACCTTGAACCTAGCTATTTATTCTCCCTTCCAGTTGAACTAAGGGGGACGATGGGTGCCCAACAGTCTCTGCCAGGGGCTCAAAGTGAAAACTCAACCTCGAATCCCTCCAAGATCTGCTACTATGAGCTTATAGGGGTTGATACAGATGCTACAGACGCCGAGTATGTATAATCATAATTCAGATGCTTTTGAATGATGAGACCTTACTGACTGTTTGCCAGGATCAAGAAGGCATATCGAAAGAAGGCTCTTGAGCTTCACCCTGACCGCAATCTTAATAATGTCCAAGAGGCAACGAGGAACTTCGCAGAGATTCAAGCAGCATACGAAGTTTTATCTGATCCTCAGGAACGGGCCTGGTATGACTCACATCGCGATTCGATTCTAGCCGGGAATGACCTTGCGGGGGACGATACCGAACCCGCTACATTTCGTAACGTCCGCCTTACCACAACGGAAGAAATATTCAGCTTAATACGTCGGTTCAATGCCACAATACCCTTTAATGATGAACCTACTGGATTTTTTGGTGTCTCCAGGGAAACGTTTGAACACCTAGCTCTTGAGGAGGAAACCGCCGCAGAAATTGGGCAGATAGACCATTCTTACTACCCAACTTTCGGGTCCTCAGACGACGATTACGAGGCAGTTGTGAAACATTTTTATGCTGCATGGTCAGGATTTTCCACCAAAAAGTCATTTTCGTGGAGAGATAAGTATCGCTTATCTGATGCTCCCGATCGACGTATACGTCGTCTGATGGAGAAGGAGAATAAAAAATGTCGAGACGATGCTATTCGTGAGTTCAATGACGCTGTTCGATTTTTGGTAACTTTTGTCCGCAAACGTGACCCTCGATACCTTCCAAATTCGCAGACGGACGCCGAGCGACAAAAGCAACTGCGAGATGCAGCTGCGGCACAAGCTGCTCGGTCGCGTGCTGCCAACCGACTAAAGTTCGAGTCTTATGTTTCTCCGGAGTGGTCACGGCCGCAAGACGAACATGGACTGGATGACTATTTTTCCGATATCGAGGAGGACTCCGAAGTAGAGATTTTGGAATGCGTCGTCTGCAACAAGTCGTTCAAAAGTGCTCAGCAATTTGAGGCTCATGAGCGCAGCAAAAAGCACGTGAAAGCTGTTCATCACTTGGGTAAACAAATGAAGAAGGAAGGTATCGCTCTTGAACTAGACGTAGCTCCAGTTCAAGAAACAGGTCAACGCCCGACCATGGAATCAGTTGACCTATTTACCACTGAAGCTAGTCCTCAGGAGACTGACCCAACCATGTACCGACCTGCAGACGGGCGAGCCTATCAGGAAGAGCAGATTGAAGCATCGGATTCATCGACTGACCAGCAGACCGATGAATATGCTCCAAGAGATGAAGTAGAGGAGCGCTTACGCCTCTCAGGCCCTGAAGGCTGCGATGTTGACCGCGTGGAAGACATAGCTGAAGCCCACCTTGCAGCATCGGTTCAAAGTGTCAGTCTTGATGAGGTATCAGTGTCTACTCAGGGTAAGATTGGAAAGGCAAAGGCCAAACGACAAAGGAAAATGGCTCGACAGCTAGAAGAGGCTACGGCGCAAGTACGTTGACCAGAATCCCATGCATTCATTAAGTACAAATCTAAGATGATTATAGCAACAGTGTAGTGTCTGCCACGCAGAATTCTCTTCGAGATCGAAACTCTTCGATCATATTCGCCATGAAAACCATGCAGCAACAAAGCCTAAGCTAAGCAGCCAGATTCAAGGCAAAAAAAGGGCTAAATAGATTCATCGTCACTGTGCAAGACAGACCGAAAAGCCAGTGTTTCTTTTTCCTTCAACTCGCCGTGATACCTCGTCTGTTATTCCTCGAGTCACAGTCGTTCAATAAGTTCAATACCGCCAGGTGTATCAATGTTAAGGGTCTTGAGTCCAGACCCCTTTCACGTCAAGGTATCATCCAAGCCAAAAAGAATACGTCGCCGGATACGTCAGTTATTCACTTTTGTCATGTGGAATTCCGCCATCTTCCCCATCCTCATCGCTCAAGAGCTCTACTTCGTCAATAACAGATCGCCCAGTCGCGTCTCGAATTTCGTTTGCGGGATGGCAATCTGCCACGTGAATTATAGATTTGCCTTGGACATGTTTGACACATCGCTTCCACTCAACCCACTCATCTTCATTTTGAATTAGAAACCCAATCAACATACTTGGGTCCATTTCCCGAACATGGATACGTCTTAAGCGAGATGTATGGCATGAGTCCATGTCATCAATTGTATACCTCGCTACATCCGAATAGTAGGGTAAAGCTTTTCGGGTATGATGAGGGTCCAAGTAGAAAAGAAAATGACCTTGGGAGCCAACGAAATAATGGGACGATGAGGGGCGACCACTGCACGGACAGTCAAAATTCGTAATTAAAAAGAGGGCCACCGTGACAAAGTGAGGAGATTTTTCGACTTACCCAGCTATCCCAACCGACTGGGACATCTGTACAGATGCTATGAGTGCCTCCCAATACACAGGCGTGATTTTATCAATGCCCAGTCTCGTTCCTACTAAGACCAGGGTTGGGTGGAAAACCTCTCCATCTGGTTTTGCAATTTTCATGAAGTTATCTTCATAAATATCTGGCCCATCGCCTGTGGAGTAGATTCGCAACTCTTGCTTGCGTGAATTAACCAGATCTCTGAACCAAGAGGAGTTAGTGAAGGTTCACAAAGAGAAGGTCGAGTGGATAATTTACTGGATACAACGAGCAGTAGCGGAAGGACCAAACCACTCGCCTGGGTATTTACTGCAGTATTTTTCTCCGTGTCGTACAAAATTGTGAATGGAATATGGTGCTCGAGGATCATCAGCAAATAATGCAAGGAGCCGCCGCTCACGATCTGGCAGCATCCCTCGGCGCCAGTCTAATAGTCATGTCAGATGCTTTCATCAGACGAGACAAATTTTTATCATCTTCTTACCTCTTCCCAAATCCAAAACCGCCATGGCATTGGCAAGCAAGCTTTGCCCAGAACGAATCATACATCCCCAGCCGCTATCCGATGTGAAGCCGCTCTGGTCCACAAGTTGGCTCCTTATTCTCATTGACAGAGACAAAGCTGATGCTGCTTTAGGGTCCGTCGACTTCGGGATAATCTCAAAGTTTGATCGGTAGGTCATCCAAAATCGCGAAGCAAAATCATCCAAGAAGGCCGCAGGCCATCCAGCGCCAACGGGACTTGGTTCCTCATATGCGAGAGAAGATGAAAAGCTTCCAGAGTACGAATCCAGAGGCGTTCCCTCAGTATCCGTACCTACTGCTAATGGTTCTGCAGAGTTCTCTTCCTTCGAATTCGATGAAGTATCATGTTTTTTCGAAAGCGACTGGACGCTCTGGTCTTCGTGCTGAACATTCATAGGCGCATCTTGTGTGTCCTTTGCGGACAGAGAATAAACGCGGCCTAGACACCACACAGGCTGGTCTAATTGCTGATCGTTGACTGGTTCAGGGTCCCAAAACAGTTGAACGATTCGCCGGTACTTGCCGAGATCGACATTGGCAATAGCGGATTCCATGACGAATTTTCCAAGTCTTTGGTGATGATATCGAAGGTAAGGTTTGGGATGCTGATGAAAACCCCAAGTAAACGAGTGATAAACATACACCGGGTGCTTATGTCCACGATCGGGATGTCTGGTGTGCTTTCACTAGATAAGTCTGGGTGAATAAACCCCGAGGCAGAATACGTGGGGGGAAATTTTGCCAATAGTCGAGGCAAAAGTCAAGTTCCACGAGGCCTAACACACACAAGAGAATCAAGCTTCTTCTTTTTAATTGGTATGCACTCTTAGTAGCCTTAGAGTGTGCTAGTAGCGATGAGGTCTATTGAACCCCAGACGCCTTTGAATGACGGAGTTGAACCCCCGACCACGATCCCACTTTTGGCAGTGGAGGATGAGGACCGTCAGTAGAAAGAATGCCACGCGACGACAGTAGAAAAGATGACGAATAAATAATTCAGAAAGCTTAGGACTTAATGTGGGCAGCTGGATTTCTTCCTGATACGAGAACGAGGATGTGACTCGATAAGAAGGATGTTTGAGTGCATTAGCATACTGATCAAACCACATGACGGCGGTGCAAGAGGCTGCCTGCTGGTGGGGCTGACAAACGCCCCATGAACGCACTTGCTGGCACATCGAGGCCAAGTCCGCCACCGACAACGGGTTCCATCCACAAAGAAGTCTTGAGTTGCACCAAGTACAATATCCCTGGTGCCATCTCTCATCTCATCTCACTACATGGTCCATTCCAGGATTCTTGATTAGTTGTGTATTTTTCTCGCTCCCAATGAGAGGGAATCTTCGACCCTTCGACTAATTGGAGAAAAATGGCGAGATCCAAAAAGAGTGGCCGACCATGGAAGGGAGGCAAAAGTTTATCAACTAAGCGCTCCGAGGCTCGGTCACATTCAGGACTTCCTGAAAATCACCATGCAATGCTAGCCATTTCAACAGGTACATCGTCACCACCCCAGCTTACAGCACTCTGTACTATGCAATTTGATTACAGGCTTAATTTAACAGAATCCATCTAGCTGCAATCACGTTGGTGGAAGAAGCTCGTCAAACGTCGTTGCATGATCATGGTCTCTGGAATGAGCACGCTCAGCTCCGAAAGAATCCAGTGCATTTCGTTAGTGCTGGACGAACCGATCCCCTAAATGACCATCCGACCAAGGAGGAGTCCAGCGAATCCAATTCTAATGACAAAGAAACTATGCTGAAACTATCGCTGGAAACTCAGGACGGGATGCGTAGTAGCGATCTCGTTCTTCATAATAGCCCAACTCAAAATTACGACAAATTTAACGAAGAGGGGTCGCAAACTTTTTATTTGGACATAGTTGAGGATAAGACAACTAAACACTCTCACTGCTCACAAGCCGTAGTGTCGAACCACCCTTCGTCTCCAGACAGCAGCTCTAGCGAGGAGGTCATCTTGTTCAGAGGACGAAGGGAACGGAAAGGACATGGGTTCAAAGCAAAGGAAATGCTTCGAGAGCAAGAAGTACATCACACTACCGAATCCAAACCCCCATCCCCAAGTGCGGATGAGGACTATCTCTCCACAGACTACTTGCAATCTTCTAGAAGTCGTAAGCGTGGAAGGAGAAAGGGCCACACACAGTATGAAACCGGTGACGAAGATATAGTGGCTGACTATATCAACAATATGCGGGACAGCGGGGAACTAGACTGTCTCTTCGACGAAATAGGGGGCAACCAACGAGAACTTGGCGCACGCGATACTGAAGTTGTGTTCAGTTGCTCCGATTCCGATACCAAGCATAACAGACCTCATGACACCAACAGGGCAGCAGGAAGCCAGGCACCACAGCATAAAAAACATTACTTCAAATCCATTGAAGACACTTTGCGACACACAGAAGATCCAGAGGATGAAGATGCCCTTGTCGACCTCATTGCTGCACAAGACTTGAGCTGCAGTTCCGACGTTGCTGCTGACACACAGACACCAGAGTCTAACTTCCCCGACACTCGACCTGCAAGAAGGTATGGCGCTAACAAGCAAGAGGAGTTTGATTTTATGGATTGGAGCACAGCTCATATTCGGTCAAAGAAGGGCAAAGGATATCGTACTCAAGTACCATTTAACAACGACGATTCCGACCTAGAACTGCAGTTGCAGGTGGCTTGGAAGAGTGATCGGATGAGGAAAAAGGAACGTAAAAGACAACGAGAAGAACTTCGTTCATTAGGAATGCTTCAGAAAAGCGCCAAGCCAGACGATCTGAGAACGAAATATCCCTCAGGCATGAGTATTGAACAAGTTGGAGAGGAGATTGAGAGATTTCTGCACAGCGGAAACGAAGTGTATGATCCTCTTGCGAGAATTTTATACTACGGCAACAAGGCCAATGCTGATTCGATATTTACTTCCAGGCTATCTTTTCCACCAATGGACCTCCACGCCCGAAAGTTGATCCACGAGCTTGCCAACAAGTTCAACATAAAATCTAAATCAACTGGTAAAGCCGACCAGCGCCGTCCAACACTGTACCGCACAATCAGAACACAGCCATATGCCGAAATACCATTCCAAAATGCCTTGAGACAAATCCAAAGGCGCTTCCTGCCCCGACTTGATACCAAGGGTAAAAGAAATTCGAAACTATCCACAACACGGGGCCAAACCCTTGGAGCAGCAGGCTATCGTGAAGGAGAAGTGGTTGGTGCATCCGCACCGGAACTCGGTGTAGATAACCGCGGAAGAGCCATGCTAGAGAGAATGGGTTGGAGTTGTGGGACTGCCCTCGGATCGATCGACAACAAGGGCATATTGCAGCCCGTAACACAGACGATGAAGAAATCTAAGGCAGGACTAGGGTGAATTGTTAAGTCTCCCTTGCGAATGGATGTGCAGAAATCTCACTTGTCAGAAAACCATAAGTATCATGTGCACGAATTCATTGTCGAGACCCTATTCTCGATGTTTATTGTACAACCGCGAACCCCATTGACCGTGAAGACATTGCCCCCATAAAGCAAAACCATCCGTAACGCATTAATAAATCCCGAAGTTGAGGCATGTTCTGCCTGTAGGATCTCAATCATGACACCCAAATGCCACGCAAAAATAAAACAACCAGAGTTATGACCCAAAACAAGCTAATGTCAAAGCACGAAATTATTTCGTGGACGAGGAGTACTTGGTGACAGCCTTGGTACCCTCTGAGACAGCGTGCTTGGCAAGTTCACCGGGTAGGATGAGCCGAACGGATGTCTGGATCTCTCGGGAAGAAATGGTTGACTTCTTATTGTAAGCCGCCAACTTGGATGCCTCAGTAGCAACGCGTTCGAAAATATCTTGGACGTAATTAGATTCGGATCATACTATGGTAGACATGAATAACTAACCGTTGACGAACGAGTTCAGAATAGACATGGCACGGTTGGAAATACCGGTGTCAGGGTGGACCTGCTTCAGGACTGTCGCAAAATGCGGGTTAGAACACACGGCTTTCATCAAGGGCGGAAATGGCATACCCTTGTAGATGTAAGAACTGTAAGTTTCCTTGCGAGTCTTGGAGCGCTTCTTCTTTTCGCCAGAAGCAGCGGTCTTCTTGCCGGCGTCCTTTTTCTCGGGAGCCTTGCTGGCGGTAGCGGGAGCCTTAGAGGCGGGCTTCTTGTCGGCGGCCTTGGGGGGCATTTTGGCGGTTTCAAAAATGAGCAGGATAATTTACCAAGAAATTTTTTTGAATATGGTTGAGGGCGAGGGTTAGACAGCGGGTGGTGATGAAAGTTGATGGCGGAGGTTGAAAGATCGGGGGGTGGGCTGGGCTTTTGTAGCTGAACGCGAAGCAGTACGAGTGGGTTACTGATTGCTATGGCTGGTAGTGGATGATGGGAGGGAGCGCGCCACGGTCGCGCGTGTTTTCCGATGCTTGAGTGACTGATCCTACCACGTTGTCGGGAAAAAACCGGGGCTCTAATACAGCTGGTGCGTTGGCACGTAAAGGGCACTAGCTACTGACCCAAGGCACTCACTAGAAGCCAGATTGGCAGCACCACAAAATGTTAATTACATAATCCAGATCTAGTGCTATCATTGGTGCCCACGGCCTCGTCTTCACACTACTACCCAGTGATTTTGAGCCACCTGCCCGCTTTTGCCTTGCCCTTTTTTTTTGTTTTTGTTTTTTCGTGCTTTCATGTCTAGTCCGAGCAGCCTACCGATTTTCTGATTGGCTACTACAAAAGGACAACAACTGCCGCAGTTCATAACGGGTTGATAGCTTGGAGGAATATGTACTGGGAAGCCATCCGCACAGTAGTACTAGTATTGCACTTGCCCTGCTTTAGCCATAAGGAATCGATCCAACAGCTATACCAATCATCCTGTGTATTGGTTGATGGTAGTACTTCAGAGAATTAGCAATAGCATTACTATAGGGAATCATGATCTGATTGCATTGCGAACGCCTTACGAGTAGCACATACTCAAATAGACAGCGGATTCCTGTTTTCCATTAATTGGGGCCTCGCTGTAATGAAGCTACGTAGCTACTGGTACCAGGTGCCACTGGCCAGAAGAAGAAGAAAAGGGCTAGATGGCAAGTTAAGATGGTAAAGATGGCAACACAGAAAGATGCGTCATTGTTACGATGATTCTGAACAATGCTGGATTTCAAGTTAATTGGTTCATCACAATCGCAGCCCGGAGATTACGAGACATTATATGCTTCGGTTTACACTGCATAACATGATCCCTACAACCTGCGACAAGAATTCAGTCCACCAGGCAGCGAATATGCGATGGGCAACAGCAAGGCACGTAAATCGTATTTCTGTAACTGGTAATGCGGCTAAAAGTACGCAGCACGTAACTATTCCCACCAGCAAATTAGAAGCACATCCGTCACCTGAACGATGGGGCTGAGGATTTGGATCTGCTTGACTGACAATGTACGGAGTAACTAAGTCGTAGCCGCTTCGAGTACTACCTACTAGTACCAGTAGGTAACGGGGTCGCCTTGTGTGCGCCATTGCAAAAATGGAGGGGGGCTAACAGCCGGGGGGGGGCGAATGGATACTTTGGTTATTTTAACTTGATTGTTTTCCCTCTGCACTCCCATTTTCCAAAGTAGGACTAGCGCCGTTTGGGGGGCCGGTGTGCCACCAGCCCGGTGGGTGATCTAGGATCACGTCTTGTACGCGCCAAAAAGTACTTAACCTCTACACCCCCCGCCCAACCACAATTCTGTTGTCCGAAATCTTGCAATTATCATCATCGCATCCTGCACGCCTCCGCTCTTATCGCACTTCGTTCAACGTCAAAAGCCACATTTCGTTCACCAAAACCCAAATCACATTCAAAATGACTGGCGCAGGAAAATCTGGTGGCAAGGCCTCTGGTTCCAAGAATGCTCAATCGTAAGTCTGCTCCAGGCCGGCATCATTACGTCTCATTAATCTTGTTGTGTAGGCGTTCTTCTAAGGCTGGTCTGGCATTTCCTGTTGGTCGTGTCCACCGTCTTCTCCGAAAGGGCAACTATGCTCAGCGTGTTGGCGCTGGTGCCCCTGTTTACTTGGCTGCTGTTCTCGAGTACCTCGCTGCCGAAATTCTCGAGTTGGCCGGTAACGCTGCCCGCGACAACAAAAAGACTCGTATCATCCCCCGTCACTTGCAACTAGCTATCCGAAACGATGAGGAGTTGAACAAGTTGTTGGGTCATGTCACTATTGCCCAGGGTGGTGTTTTGCCCAATATTCACCAGAGTAAGCTGTGCAAATTCCATGTTTTATCGAATTACGCTAATCAGTCCCAAGACCTACTGCCGAAGAAGACTGGTGGCAAGAGCGGCAAGAATGCGAGCCAGGAGTTGTAAATTTGTAGTTGGCTTCTGTTTTCATGCGGGTTGGTTTAGGTTGCAATGACAAAGGGGTCACGGTTCAGGGTTCACGGTTATTTGCTTTTATTACGCGCAAGGGTTGTACAATAATCCCACGGCTATGGTCATGAATGAAAACATTTTCCAGACACGTTGGCCGTCTTAAAGTGAAATTGTGATATGTTTATATGGGTGGTGGGTTAGGTGTTGGTCAGAAATCATGTCTCGGTGCTTACGCTTGCAACTGTGGTGCCAAATTATTAAGTTATTTATTGTTTTCCTCTCATGTCAAATGATAATACAAGCATGATACAGGTATCCTGCATACACAACATCTGGTAACACAGTATTGGGCTGTGGTGGCAAACTAATAGGGGGGTTATGTTCGACTTGAATATACTTCACCGTTTGTAGCCTTGGCCCGTGACCTTGGCCCATGGGGAAATATTTAAATGCGGCGGTTCGATAAATTCGATCTAGAGCTACAAATACATATCGTCTGCCTCTCTGGTCCAGCCCGTATTTATACTCAAGTGTCAGTGTCGGTTGACGGAGTGTGGAGGCGCTAGCATTTGTCAGTCAAATGGCTTTTCAGAGAACAATGTTCAGCAGACAAATGAGGCACTCACGATCCAAAATTGGCGATGGCAAATTTCGCTCGTACTTGGAGCCTGATCGGGTTCGTTAGCTAGCCGGTTGTGTTGTAATCGAGTCTTTCGATGCCATACCTCCAGGTGCAGTCGGTGGAATATATGGGTCAGGGTGCTTCCACGTATCAAGCAACTTCTCCGTCTCGGATAGCAAGGCCTGTATTGGTCGTCAGTGTGTGGCCCTAGTTGGTGGAGGTACGTTGTTTCGGCTTACCCTTTGCTGTCTGGGATCGGTAATGTTGCGATTTGCCTCGAACAGCGATCGTATGTAAAGTGCTTGCCCGCGCCAAAGCTGGCGTTGGACTGCCCAGTCCAACGCCAATTTCAGGGAGCGCCGGTAGAGCGAACTGTGCGTGAAGCTTTAGCAAGTCTGCTTTCTACTTTTCTGTGGCACTGTCGCGTTCGTGTGTTTCTGGTCTTGGGGTCTTACATGGCAGCCCGTCGTGACGACATGGCAAGTTTGATGTTGATCTAGCTTGTCCGTCGTCGGCGGTGCAGCTCAGCGGCGTAGGGATGGTCTGCGCGGTTTGACGCAATTGTTGATTGTCAATCGACTTGTTTGGGTTATTCTTTGTGCCTTTGTGACGGTGTAGCTGCCGCAACCGTGTTGTGCCGGGATTCCTGGCGGCTTTTTGACGATGTTCCTCGCGAGCTCTGGACATGATCTTCAAATAACTACCAGGTAGCCATGCTTCGCAGTGTTGCTGCCTTGTGGCCTGGTGTGGCGCATGCCCATCCGCACTGGAAGTGCACTGCCTACCCTACACTGTGCGCTATCCGCTCTATCCGTCCGGCACTCAGTTGGTATTGCTGGGTTCCTTGTGATTTTCATTTTCTGGTGCATTTTTCTATTTACATATATGGAATCTGCCATATTAATACGGGTGCGTTAATACATCCAAGCGTGCTGACGTGTTGTCTCGTATGTGCTAGATGTAAGTAGATACTAATGTGGCAACGGTGCGGACTATAGCATCACTTGTTTAATCGAGTGATTGATTGGTTAGTTCATTGAACGGCGCTCCTGCGCCTGTCCTATAACCGAAACTACCCGTAGTTATTGAGTTAGCCAAAATTATCGTCACATATGCTACGCGGGTTTCCTGCATCTGAAGATGAACGGTATTAAGTGTTTGGAGATGCCGAAGAACTCGAGCATCATGAGTGTAGCAGCCCCTGCACGCACCAAGGGGCATGTACGGAGTACAAGCATGGAGTAATAACCGCAGCCACTTTTACCCACACAGAAAAGACAGGGCCGCGGCCATTCACCCGAACCCAATTCCTCATTTTTTTCGACGGCTCCACAACAGCTAGACCACCCTTGGTTTCAATTGTACTTCACATAATAATAGGTCATACACACTCGGAGAACACGGGTTCGCTCACGTTTTCACAACAATCTACTCCGTACTCAGCCACCTAACTCACCCAGCATTGACATCGCTACATAGTGCAATTATCACCACCGCCCACCGCCTGCCACTCACTCTGTTACAGGAACCACAAGAAGACCGCCAGAATGTTGTCCAGGAGGATAGCCACCGCTGCGCGCATGGCGCCGTTGCGCTCTATGCACCCTTTTCGCTCCAACTACCTGGCGATGCTTCCGCCCCTGATGCAAACTGTGCGAACATACGCCGACAAGGTAGTCAAAGTACCACAAATGGCCGAGTCCATATCAGAGGGAACACTGAAGCAGTTCTCAAAGAGCATTGGCGACTTCGTGGAGCAGGATGAAGAGATTGCGACGATCGAGACTGACAAGGTATGTGACCCACCAAACAATTGCACACTGGCACCAAGAATGCTCTAACACCCCAACAAGATCGACGTTGCTGTCAACGCCCCAGAAGCCGGGACTATCAAGGAGTTTCTTGCCAGCGAGGAAGACACCGTAACCGTCGGACAAGACCTTGTCCGTATTGAGCTCGGTGGAGCGCCGTCAGGCAGTAAAGAAGAACCCGCAGCCTCAAAAGATGAAGCAAAGGAAGCAACAGAATCAGAGCCAGTAAAGACGGAGACCAAACCGCAGCAGAGCCAGACAAGCCTAAACCCCGAACCCAAGCAAACAGAAAAGCCAGCGACAACAAGGGCAGCATCCAAGGAAGCTCAGTCAGCTCAGTCAGAACCAAGCCAGACGTCCACTGCATCAGCCTCTACAGGAAGCCGAGAAGAGCGCCGAGTATGTCATTCCAATATCAACATCTTGAACGAGTTATCCAATTATTAACGCGGACACAGGTCAAGATGAACCGTATGCGCCTTCGTATTGCCGAACGCCTTAAGCAATCACAAAACACTGCTGCCTCACTCACGACATTCAACGAGGTGGACATGTCAAACATCATGGAGTTTCGCAAGTTATACAAGGACGACGTGCTTAAAAAGACAGGCGTAAAATTGGGGTTCATGAGCGCCTTCTCCCGCGCGGCTGTTCTCGCCATGCGGGACATTCCGGCGGTCAATGCCTCCATCGAGGGCCCTAACGGCGGCGATACCATTGTCTACCGCGATTACGTGGATATCAGCGTCGCAGTGGCTACCGAGAAGGGTCTTGTGACACCGGTTGTTCGTGACGTCGAGTCGATGGATCTTGTCACTATTGAGAAGGCCATAGCTGACATGGGCAAGAAGGTACGGAGGCCCCACTTAATCATTGCAATACCACCAGAGCACTAACGATTTCCGTAACCATCCACAGGCACGCGATGGTAAGTTGACAATCGAAGATATGGCTGGTGGTACCTTTACCATCAGCAATGGCGGTGTATTTGGCTCGTTGATGGGAACGCCTATCATCAATCTGCCACAAAGTGCAGTTTTAGGTCTTCACGCGATCAAGGACAGAGCAGTGGCCGTTAATGGGAAAGTTGAGATCCGACCAATGATGTATCTGGCATTGACTTATGATCACCGCTTGCTCGATGGCAGAGAGGCTGTGCAATTCCTTGTTAAAGTCAAGGAATACATCGAGGACCCGAGACGTATGCTTCTGTAGGCTCAACGCATGGCCCCTGGGATGAGTAGATAGATGGGAATTAATTGTGTAGACTGTAATATAGAACCGTGTTTTCCTGCATTAAAACTTCTCACGTGTTACGCTATTTCTTTGCGTGAAAATGTAAATGCCTCGGCTAGACCCAGCAGCATACACAGAGAGAGAGAGAGAGAGAGATTACTTTCTTTGTTGCTAGTTGAGGTACATCAGGTGCATTAACTTTTTTTTTCCAAGTCGAAGACTAATTAGGCTGGTACCAAGCCAAGAAACCAGAAAATAGACCGTCTGCGTATCGGGACGCGTCAGGTATATTGTATTTATTTGGTACTTGCACGATTTAATACTCGGTGGATGAATAAAAAAGCATTCAGTGGCAAATTTTTGTATTTTTTTTTTATCTACCACATGGTGGTTTCTTACTAAAGCAAATAAATAAATTCAATAAAATGGCAGGTAAGAGATTAAAAAAAAAAAAAACCCCCTTTCTGTTCTTTTCTTTTTTTTTTTTTAGAAAAAAAAAGCCAACTAAAATTTGATTTTTAGAGGCGAAAAAATAATTTTCCACAGTGGATTTGCCTCTAAAACCCACGGGTGGCTATAATAAAAATCAACTAAAAAAAAAAAAAAACTACTATTAGCGTAAAGAAGAAAAAGAAAAGCAAACTATTAATTATAATATGAATTAATCAATTTTTTTTTTGTAAATCAATTGCAATTTCTTTTAACGCGTCAGACAACCGATTAAACCACAAGTGGTTTTTATTGTTATTCTAGAATTAGTACATAAAACGCCTGCCTAGAAAAATGCTCACTTTTTGTCACACTAGAAAAACTAATTATCTAGAAGAAGTCTTGCAGTATTTACAACTAAGAAATATTATTGGCCTGGCTTGCAAGCACATACTCATCGAAGAAGAAATCTTCGTTGCTGAGTTCGCCATTAGAATAATCCCACCTAACAGGAATAGCATGGCCATTGGCTGCGAAGCCGACATCCTCACCCTTCCATTCGCCAGCGCATATTCTTGCCGCAATCCTGAGCATAAGTGCAACGAGATGACTAGGAGGGCCAATTAATAAGTTGTAGGTCTTGCTCACGATAGCTCGGGGAAGGCTGCCTAATATACGCAATCTTCCTCTTACGGGATTGAATAGTTCCCTGTCGCTTTGCAACTCCACCAGCGGATTGGAATTTAGAGGGCCAGCCGTCTTCGGCAATATTCTTCTTCTGATTTCATTTGCCTGCATATCGAGCCTCGAGGGACTTGTTGAGCGCTCGATTTTAATGTCCTCCAGGTCCTCTGGATCCTTGTCATCAGATGATGAGTTCGACGGTAACTGTGCTT